TGTGTGTGTGTGTGTGTGTGTGTGTGTGTGGCCAGCTCAGCCCACCAGGGGGCGGGGCTGGCTGGCATGTGGTGCTGGAGGATTGAACTGCTGTCTCTGTGCTTTGCTAAGCTTGTTCTTAAGTAGGTGCTTTAGACCACTGAGCCATCTCACCAGCCCAAGAGACAAATTTAATCTTCTGACTATGTATAGGATTCTTTCAAGTATTTTTTTTTTTTAATTTTAGAAGAACTGGGACTGGTTGGATTTGAGGAAGTGTTCCATTGCAAGTAAGCTATCATAATTTGTAACTGAGCTGCCCACAACATTCCCTTGTCCGTGTGAGGTCTGCACAGTTTAAATGATTTTCCCTGTTTTGTTTCTCAGGTAATACATGAGCTCTCACTTTTCTTTGTCAGTCTTGCTGGATAGTTCTCAGTCCTTTTGGCCTTTCAATAAACTAGCTCTTTTAAATTGATTTTTGATGTATTTGTGTTTCCATTGTCATTAAATTTTGCACCTCATTTCTCTTCTGATTGCGTTAGATTTATTTTGCTCTTCTTTATCTATATTGCTGAGGTGGGTGTTTAGACTTTTTTCTTTCCTCCTTGTATCATAGTCTTAAGGCTATTATAATAAATTGTTAAAAACTCACATGCTTAAAACAAGAATGTCCTACACATTTCTGGAGGGCAGAAGTAGAAATACCACTAGATCAGATCAGATTGTCAGCAGGTTTGCAGCTCGTTTCCTTGCCTTTTCCAGCTTCTTGTGGCTGTCTGCATTGTTCAGTTTGCAGTTTCTTCCTCCTTTGAAGCCAACACTGTTGCTATGGTTTGTGTCTAGTTGACGCCCTCTCCCCCCAAAATAAGCCTTATGCAGGCATGGAGCAGGATTCTAGAATGTGTGATTACCTCATGATCCACGGAGCTTATGGGTGTGAGTGCTGCTAGTATTATGGGTGTGAGTACTACACCAAGCCTGGGGCAGACAGCCTGAATGGAGCCATTGCTGCCCATACTCCTCCCTTTTCTCTCTGCTCTTTGCCACTGCCATGAAAGGTTGCTCTCTGACATGTGCTGCTCTGCCTTGGAGCCAGCTGAGTATGGACTGAAACTTGCAGTAACTGCGAGCTAAATAAATGTTTCCTTCCTTCATTTGGAGTGTTTGGTATTTGTCCCAGCAATGAGAGAAGAGTAACCAAGACAACTGTGTACCACATTCTCTCTTTTTTGAATTGTATTTCCACCTTTTTCTTTCCCAGATTCTGATTTCTCTTGTTTCCCTCCTGCAGGGATTCTTCTGGTTTTACTGGATCCACCTAGATAATCCAAACTCTTAAAAACCTCTGCACTGGGGCCAGGGAGATGGCTCAGTAGAATAAGTGTTTGCCTGGCAAGTGCAAGGGCTCAGATTTAATCCTCAGTCCTGCAACAAAACAAAATAAAACAACAAAACCTCTGCACTGGGCCGGGAGATAGCTCAGCTGCATAAGCACCTGCCTCATAAGTGCAAGGTCCTGAGTTCAATCCCTGGTACTGGAAAAACAAATCCCTGCAAAATTCTTCCTGAAATCTGTATGAGTGACATATTTACAGATACAAGGAATTCAAAGATGACCATTTTGGAGTACTATAATTCAGCCTACCATACTATTGTATAGACCTAGTGTTTAAATTCCTCTTAAGGGGCCGGGGAGATGGCTCAGTGGAATAAGCGCTTCCCTGGCAAGCGCAAGGGCCTGAGTTCAATCCCCAGTTCCACAAATAAAATAAAATAAAATAAAATTCCTCTTAAATAACTGTGTGTTATAGTTACTTTTATTGTTGCTGAGACAAAATGCTCAACACCCCCAAGTTAAATGATGAAAGATTTATTTTACCTTATAGTCTGGAGTGGTTTCAGTCCATAGATGTCTGGGCCCAAGACTGGGAAGTATGGAGGAAGAGCTTGGCAGCCCAAAAGCAGTTCATGGCATGACACACAGGAGGCCATGAAGTTTCTTTCTTTCTCTTTTTTGTTCTATCCAGAATACCAGCCTGGTGATCAGTGCCACCTACTGCCAAGCTGGGTTGTCATTGTTCAGCTTGTCCCTTATCCACCAGAACTATGCAAAAGCAATCAGTGGCCTAATTCAATATTACAGACCCATGATCCACTATGACACAGCTATGATCTGGCCACCTCCCCAAAGCCTCACCTGTGAGCACATGAAGATTTGGGGGCATCTAGATATCAGTCAGGATAGGGCATCTCATCAGTATTATTACATATTTCTCATAATTGTGATATATTCTACATTCTTTTACTTTAAAGAACTAAAAAATTAACCTTGAGGCCCCATCTTTAATCTGTAGCTTATTTAGAAGTATGTCTTTAGTTTCTAAGTGTCTGGATTGTTTCCTGTTACATTTTCTTTGGATATCTACTTTAATTCCTATTCTGTCCTGAAATACAGTGCATAATTTCAAGTCTAAAATTTGTGGTAGTTTGTTTTATGGCCCAGGTAATGGTACATGCTGGCATATTCTCCATGCTGAGAATTTAGGAACATACTCTTGTTGGGGGTGGTCTACAAGTGTCAATTAGATATTGTCCTCTGACAGTGTTGAATTCCTCTCTGTGCCTTCAGTTATTTTGTCTACTGGTCCAAATAAATATTGGCAGAGAGATGTTGAAATTTCTGACAGTCTTTGTGGAATTATCCTTTTTTTTGCCTCATGGATTGGAGCTCATCTGTTTGATTCAGACTCAGTTAGGAGAGCTATATCTTCTTTGTAGGCTGCATTCTGGGCCCTAATTCTGAATGCCATTATCCAGAAAGTTCAAAATCCATAAAGCTTAACATCTTAAAAGATTAAAATCCTAATGATATATTCTAAGAAAAAAAGAGTTTCATAGAAGTCAATTATTTACATGTTTGAAAAAAGATTTATTTGAGAAATATGAAAATGTACAGAACATGTTAATGGCTTCTTTATATTTTGGGATCGCAAATAACATTGCGATCCCAAATCGCAAAGTTATGCTACTGACTATCACTCTTTTATGCTACTGACTATCACGTGAGTATAAAAATTATGATGATAAAACATATTTGCACAGAAGTAAGTTAACAACCAGAATACATAAATGCAGATTTCGATTTGAAACTGTATGTACTTGAATTAGTACTACAATTTTCTGATAAATATAAGGAGCAACCTAAATCTTTTTTTTTTTTTTTTTTTTTTTTGGTATTTAGAACCGGATGTACAAGGAGTACAGAGTTTCACCGTGTAGATCAGACTCATAGTTATACTCCTGTTTATAGCCTCCCAGGTGCTGAGATTCAGGCTTAGGCCACCATGCTCAGCCTCAATTGCCTTCTCAGCATGGCCCAGGGGCCTGGGCCGGCAAGGAAGCCCTGGGACTTCCCGGCCCCTGCGTTTGCCTAAGCAGGAGCTTTAATCCGCTAAGCTAAAATCTTTTCATAATAACAACAAAAACCCACAGTGATTTATCACTACAGGTAAAAATCGCTGTTTCCTCTTACAACCAACGCATGCTAAGTTTCTTTATCCTAGCCCTCTGTCCTATTCACCACCCACCTCTCTGATTTATATCAGTAGAAGGCTTGAGTTTGTGGACTCATCCCAGAGGGCCTCAGCTGGATAATATTCTGTCTTTGCTTTTTTTATAAGCATAGACTGCCTTATTCCATACAGACAATGGAAGACTTGAGCACTCCATGGAGGTTTTCCGTAAAGGATGCTCTCAGAGAACAGTTTTCCATTTATTTCTACAAGCTTCTGTTTGTTTCAAAATTCTACTATGTGCCTTATAAGTCAACATGACCGTTTCTTATCAAATTTCCCAACCTCTGTGCCATGCTTCTACACTGTTGGGAGCCTGTGGAAATCTGTTCCTCAGGCATTCGAATATATACAAACCATCTCGTGGCATATGCAACAATAGTGACTAGACAACGCATTTTCTTACAACATGGTGCACATAATTATCTTCCAACTAGTCAGTGACATTACTGAGAGATGCAAGTTTATAATTCGGAAGTGCCTACAATGTCACCAGCTAGAAGGAATGGAAACACAGACAATGGATTTCTTTTTAAGTTGGCATTTTTGTGGTTATCCTATTGCAGGCCAGTTGCTTCCCTGGAATTCAGCTTTCTTTCGCTATTATACTACTGAGGAAAAAGTATTCATGAATGATGTATAGAGTGTTACTAATCATCCTTAATTTTTGACTATCATAGAAAGTTGCTTAATTTGGAAAGTTTTCACAGGCACGTTTTTGAAGAATTAAAGAATGTCATTGTCTGGTGAGATTTTTGGACTTATGTGCAAACATGAGAAGTATATAATTCTTTATCCTATTTTTAAAATATAATCTAATTTTTAAATGCTTTTTTATCATATTATGCAGGGACTTAAAGTTCAACATATCACTACTTGATGAAAAATACCTGCTCGTTATTATGCCTAAGATGTTTGAAGTGCAGTGAGATAGTGAGGTTAAGCTTAATAGCCTAAATCGTTTGATAATAACAATAAGCTTGTCTTCTGGATGGTTAACAACCTAAGTTTGCAGACCAAAATTAGAGAAAAAGGAGGGCTACAAGGAAAGCCAACATTTTGGCCCTAACCTTCTAAGGTCAATTAAGACTCAGGAACGAGAACTTGTACTGTAATGTCATGTACCTCGGTAGTGTCCCAAATTTTCTGATCAAGAAGATTATGGGGCCAAAGAGGAAAGTGATCGATGATGTAGAGTATGCCGAAGGAGAGTCACATGGGGAGAAAACACTCTCTCAGGCTTTCACGGAGAGCACATTGGCCAAGCAATGGCTGTGACTCATCCACATGGCTGCACTGACAAAGTTTCTACAATCTGAGGTACAGGATCTCAGGATAAATCCTGAGGGGATTTCACTGACCTTCTCAGACCAAAAAGCTACAACTCTTCTTGCACACGTCCTGCTTCACCTTGGTCTTAACCATCCAGTAGAAAAGTATGAAGACGAAATATAGGAAGTAAAGTCATGCTGTTATGTTGAGCTGTGGGGGACTCAGGTCAATAATTTCTGACATTGCCAGTTAAACAGAAGACCCAATGCTATTATGGTCTACTGGACTCTTTTTGAATATTTTGCTGAGTTTACACACCTATAATATTCAATAACGGAACTTAGAAAAAATGGGGTATATAGACGAATGTCCATTTTGTATCTGTGTATTGAAAGTGGTTAGGATAGATATATAGGTGCATTCTCTTAATGAATAGAATGATTTGTTCTAATGGTGTTTGTAAATAGGATCTCAATTCCGCATCTTGTACAGCAATTAACCACTAAGAAGAATATATGCAGTGTGTTATTTGTTGAAAATGTACTTCCTGTTTGATTAGAAACTGTCTCATTGCTGTTTATCAATAAAATTTTGAAAAAAATGTCATTGTCTAAAGCATGAAAGATACTTTTGTAGACGAGGCCACTGTCTGTGGTGTGGCTGAGATCTGCACTCTATGTCATTATTCTGAACATGATCTATAATGATTTTCATCTCAGAGGCAAGCTCATTGCTCAATTGAAGGCAACAAAGAGCCTCCAGGAATTTTGTCACAGACTCCGTGGTTATATGATAGTATGACACAGGATAAAGTTCTTTGAAATTATCATAAAACAATGTTGCATTGCCTTCAGAACTCAAGAAGAAGCACTTGAACCTGATCAATATTTTCCTACTATAACCACCATCTATTACCAGCTTCTCTTTTAAAGTCTGGGCAGTTCGTTTACAATAGAGTTTTAGTTGATTTGCTCGCACCGACCTTGTAGAGTCGTCTCCTGTCTTGTCTTTTTCCATGAAGATGGTGCACAGGACTGGTGGACTCCTCATGGGGATTAGAAGAGCATCACAGATGACGTCTTCCTCCTTTTCCAAGCCCAGGTCTGAAGACAAGCTCTCGGAGAACAGGATAATGTCTCTGAAGGATTCTATTTTGTTATGTATTAATTGTTGAAGTCCTTGATGTTGCAAGAACAGTTTCTTATAGATGCTTTTCGGAGTATATATCACCTTTCTTGATAACACTAGACACAGAAATGATGACAACAAATTACAAAAAGGAAACACTGCAGAGGTCCCACGTAAGCCAGATCAAAGTAGCTTGCATACTGTAGCCCACTCACTGGAAAAAAAAATCTATCAAGGCTGCAAAAAACATCCAAGCAATAATTGAAAGAGCTGAACAGCTGTTAACACCATAATTACTTAAAAAGTGAAAACCTTTGTTAGAGAGGAAGCACAGGAAGTAACCTCACATCTACTTCAGAGTTTTCTTCAAGTTTATTCTGTATGTCATGGCATGGGACAATAGAGCCAATAAATGTACGAGGAGATGCTGCACAAAATTCATAAACATGGTCATGCACACTGCAAAGACATGCTTTGTTGAACCCACTTGACTGGGTAGAAAGTCAAAGAGAAGCAGAAAGGCAAATAGTGGTTTGATGATTGCAGGAAATATGAAATATTTATTTTATTTGGGGGGGGGACCGGGGATTGAACTCAGGCCCTTGCGCTTGCCAGGGAAGCACTTATTCCACTGAGCCATCTCCCCGGCCCCCTGGAAATATGAAATCTTGAGCATGTCACTGATTGGAGCGAAATGGCCTGTCTACATTAGGGGAAAATGTCAGTATCTACTTACCTAAATATTCATAAACCTCCCCAGTTAGCAATTTGATTTCTAGGTGTGCTCTCAATAGAAACTCTTGCGCATATGCACCAGAAGCCTAAATAAGAATATTTACTATAGGTGTATGAGATCTTCCATGTGCTCTCTGGATCCCCTCTAGCCTGAGCCCAGGCCGGCTGTGTATGAGTGACAGTCAGCACACTCGCGGAACCTCCTCCATCAGACAGGCCTGGTGTGAAACTGCAGCTGAAGTCCCTACAGAGAAGATAAGCGCCAGAACCACCCAGCTAATCCAGGAGCTGAACATCTTGCCAGAGGGGTACAAAGGGCTCACTTCCAAGGGCTGCAGCAGGAAGAAGCTGAGCACAGCAGCCAGACCCAAGCCAGGCATATCTGGATGAGTTCGAACTTGGTAGATCCAGATCCAGTAACCTGAGACACTTTGCTAGATCTGGATCTATGAGAGCATCCTTTCTCTTTCTCTCTTGATTGACAGAGGGGGCAACAGGTAACCAGGGTGAACTAGTCTGCCTGGAGGACCCAGGGACTTCAAGGGGAGGTTAGTTAGGGGAACTAACTTAAATGCAAATTCGCAATTTATTATCAGCTTAGATAAACAGACATAATGTTTGCTCTTGCAGTCTAAAATACAAACCCCTTAGTTCCCAATGGATTTCTTTCTTTTTTTTTTCTTTCTTTCTTTCTTTTTTTTTTTGGCAGAACCAGGGTTTGAACTCAGGCCCTTGTGCTTGCCAGGGAAGCAATTATTCCACTGAGCCAGCTCCCCAGCCTAAAAAACCCGTTAGTCACAAAAGTTTGTCAACTGCTAAATATCACTACCCATTATTAGTGTTCCTAATTGTAGTTCTGTAAATGTAAAACTGTAACTGCCTTAACCACATAATCTCTGTTGGGTAAGAATTTTGGTAGGAGCTAAGGTTATAACAGCACCAAAGCTCTACAGAGAAAGGTCAGAGGACAGTGACATACAAAATGACAGAGAGAAGGAGCAAAATACAAGCTCAGGCCCTGAGCCCACCCAGAACAAATGCAGAAGACACTAGCATAGAAGAAATTGGGAATAACAAAGCTGAAATCTCTGAATTAATAAACAACTTCGGAAAGGGTGAGGAGGAAATCAGATCAGATCTGAAGTAAAAAAGTAATAATTATAATGAAAGAATTACTAAGTGCTTCTAAAGAAGACATTGATAAAAAATAGAAGAGAATAGAAAAATGATGGAATCCTTGAATAAGCAATATAGGAAAGAAATAGAATGCATGAGGCAGATTCAAAGAGCTGTACAGGACACTGAAGATAGAGTTTCAGATCTTGAAGACACCATTGCAGCTACCGAAAAGATAAAATCTCTTAGAAACAACTAAGATGCAGGAAACAATAATTCAACATCTGCAAGATGATGCAAAGATGAACAATGTGAAACTAGTAGGCATTAATGAGAAAAAGAGTCAATAAAAATGAAATTAAAAAATGGGCAGAAGTAATAGCAGAATACTTCCCAAATATGAGGACACAATCTGACATTTAGTAAGCAAAGCATATAGAACTCTAAGTAACAATAACCCAATTAAAAACACACTGAGGGGCAGGGGAGATGGCTCAGTGGAATAAGCACTTCTCTGGCAAGCCCAAGGGCCTGAGTTCAATCCCCGGTTCTGCCAAAAAAAAATTAGTAAAAACAAAAACAAAAACAAACAAAAAAAAAAACCCCAAACACCGAGACATATAATAGTCAGGATCCCATAAATCCAGCCCAAGAACAATATACTAAAAGCAGCTAGAGAAAAGCAACAGATCACATTTAATTGACAACCCATCAGAATAATGGCAGATTTCTTTTCACAAACCATGTATTTAAGAAGAGCATGGAGGAAAGTACTTCAAGTCCACCAAGAAAAAAAATTACAGCCCAAAATTAATGCTATACCTTGCAAAACTCTCAAGTTTGATGGAGAAGTGAAATATTTTCATGTCAAAGAACAACTAAATAATTTCATGATGACAAAGCCAATCCTACACAGACTACTAAAATTATGCTAGAGGGGGACCAAAAATGACCACAACTTCATGAATGATAACAAAGAAAACCCACCAAATAGGGAAAACAATTAAACACAAGAGAAAAAGGGGTATACAACAGTAGGTAGATAACATGTCAATCGTAAGTCAATACATCTCAATTATAACCATCAATGTAAATGGACTCAATTCACCCATTAAAAGAAATAGACTGGCACAGTGGATTCGGAAGCAAAACCCAACAATGTGCTATATACAAGAAACACACTTAACTCATAAAGAAATTCATGGTTTGAAAGTCAAAGGGTGGAAAACAATACTACATGCCCTAGCACCTTAGAAAAAGGTAGGCTTAGCAATCCTGTTCACAGACAGTCTCAACTTCAAACCAAGAATGATCAAATGAAATAAAGAAGGCAATCACATACTGGTTACAGGAAAAATACAAGAGGAAGAGATAACACTCATAAATATGTACACTCCAAACACAGGAGCACTCACCTACATATGACAAATCTTTTTTTTTTTTTTTTTTTGTGGAAACGGGGATTGAACTCAGACTCTTGTGCTTGCCAGGCAAGCACTTATTCTACTGAGCCATCTCCCCGGCCCCCGTATGACAAATCTTAATGGACATGAAAAATCTAATATACTATGCCACCATCTTAACAGGAGACCTTAACACCTCTTTATCCAGAAAAGATAGGTCAACCAGACAAAAAATTAGCAAAAAAGTGGCAGAACTGAACCAGAACTTGGAACAAATGGACATAGTGGACATATACAGAGTGTTCCATTCAACCACAGCTGAATACACTTTATTTTCACCTGCATATGGGACATTTTTTAAAATAGACCATGTACTAATCCATAGGTCATGTTTAAGTTTATGAAAGAAAACAGAAATTATCCCATGCATATTGTCTGACCACAGTGCAATGAAATGAAATAAATGACAAAAGAAACCACAAAATCCCCATAAATACATGGAAATTAAACAACACCCTCCTCAGCAACCAATGGGTTACAGATGAAATTAAACAAGAAATTAAACAATTACAATTCAGGGGCTGGTGAGATGGCTCAGTGGTCTAAAGCACCTACTTAGAACAAGCTTAGCAAAGCACAGGGACCGCGGTTCAAACCCCCAGCACCACATGCCAGCCAGCTCCGCCCCCTGGTGGGCTGAGCTGGTCACACACACACACACACACACACACACACACACTCACACACCCACACACACCCACACACATAAGTAAAAATTAAAAAAAATTAAAAAAATATTTACAATTCAATGAAATTTCAACAACTTATCAGAATTTATGGGATGCAATGATAGCAGTTCTTAGAGGGAAATGTATAGCTATGAGCTAACATATTAGGAAAACAGAATGGGAACAAATAAATACCCTAATGCTGCACCTCAAATGTCTAGAAAAAGAAGAGTAAACCAAAACTAAAGCGAAACACGAGAGGAATTTATAAAGATTAGAGAAAAATTAATGCAATTGAGATAAAGAAAACAGTGCAAAGAAGTAATGAATGAAAAAGCTAGTTTTTATGAAAGATTAAATAAAATTGAATAACCTCTATCTAATGGCATCAAAAAGAGGAAAAAAAACCCTCAAATTCAAGCAATAAGGCATGAAAAGGGTGTAACTGCTGCAGACCCAGTGGAAATTCAGAAGATTTTCATTAGCTACTTTGAGAATCTTTACTCTCACAGAATAGAAGACACAGAAGAAATAGACAGATTCCTAGAAAGGTACAAATTACCAAAAGTGAATCAAAAAGATATAACAACTCTCTATAACCCAATAACAGCCAATGAAATACGAAATGTAATAAAAAACCTACAGACAAAGAAAAGTCCAGGTACTGATGAAGTCGCAGCTGAATTCTACAAGGAATTTCCAGAAGATATAACCCCTACATTCCTCAAATTCTTCAATGAAATTGAAAAGGAAGCAATCCTCTCAAAATCATTCCTGGAAGCAAGTATTATACTGATATCAAAACCAGAAAAAGATGCAATTAAAAAAGAGAACTATAAGCCAATCTCCCTCATGAACATAGATGCAAAAATCCTCAATAAAATCCTAGCAAATAAAATACAGCAAATCATCAAGAAAATTATACACCATAACCAGGTAGGATTCATCCCAGGGATGCAAGAATAGTTCAACATATGCAAATCTATGTATGTAATATACTATATCAATAGATCCAAATCCAAAAACTACATGATCATCTCAGTTGATGCAGAAAAGGCTTTTGACAAAGTCCAATACTCATTCATGTTCCAAGTCCTACAGAAAATTGGAGTAGATGGCCTCTACTTCAATCTG